ACGTAATACCCAGTCAATGAAAGCGTACTCACGGTACTATGTTACCCGGTTTTGTGCACTTTAACAAGAGTTGGCGACGGTGAATTAAATGAAAACACGATCAGCCTGTGGCCACTGCCAGGAAAAGTGCGTAGTACCTTTGCGGTTTTATCTGGTACACCCTGAGTGAAGATGAGGTCGAGAATATGGTCCCCTCGTACATGCTTTGTCCAGCCATAGGAATAGACGGAGGAAGCAAAGCTACCGTACTTTACAGATGAGATAGGTGTACTCCAAGGAATATTCGGCATGTTGAAATCACCACCCATAAGTTTGAAGTCCGCGGGATGTTTAGAAGCGCATTGAAATACATTAAGTAAATTGTTTACAGTGGTTGTATCAGAATTCGGTGGGTCGTAGGCGCAGCTGATGAAACAATCGAGTTGGTTTATATGAGCAAAAGCGAAGACAGAGTTTTTCTAACTGCTCAGATAGGAGTCTGTATGTGGACAAGCATGGATGTCATTTCTGATGTGTACAGTATTGGCTAAATTATTATAAATGTTTTTTCAATCAGCAAATTTTTTCAGATTTCTCCACATATCTCGTAAGAATCAAATGATGTAACTTTAAAATGGTTATATTTACCAAGCATAACTTATAGCAAATTATCAAGGTTTATACTTCGTAAATGATCCTTTGGCAATTTTCGAGTAGTTAACACGCAAACGCATCGAGTGAATGAGTTTTTATTGCAAAGTTCAGTCATGCTTTCACTGCGAACCCAGGTCGCTTAACTACTGAGCAGTTGCTTGTTTGTAATAACTTTTTTCTTCATCTCTGACTTTAGAATTGCCCATAAATTCTTTATTGGGTTCATATCAAGGCTATTACCAGGCCATGGTAACACTTCTATACCACAAACCTCAAGAAAACGGGTGACTTTTCGTCCCTTGTGACATGGAGCACTGTCATGCATGAAAATAAAGTCTCCTACCCCTGTACATTCTTTTTACTCTGACCATTCACACAGCTGAGGGATCAGTTGGTGCTCCACTAGTTCTTTGTACTGCTGCTGGTTCATGTTACCCTGGACGATGGAGAATCGACCAGTTCCGTAGCTGTTCATAGAGCTCCATGTCATGACCTGAGTGGGATGTTTGACTCGTTGAATGATGCAGTCTTCCCTCAGCTGTTCGCCAGGTAATCGGCGCACCTATAGAGATTGCTGGTCAGAGCACCGGATGATGCACTCATCGTTGAAAACCACCTAAAATGAAACACAGCAAAAGTAATGTAGACCCAATTTTTCTGGCAAATCCCTGTGAAAATAAAATGTCCGCTTCCTACCCGCTCCCAGTCTTCTTTGGACCATTTTTGAAGCTGTTTGGTTCATTGCTGTCGTTTTTCTTTCATTTGTTTGGTCAACTTTTGCTTCTTCAGTGGCCTGCAAGCTCGAAGTCCAGAATCCAGAAGTCGTCTTCTTTTCTCGAATTAACTGCAACACCATGCTGTTCCAACATCCCTTGTAGCTGTCTGCTAGATGCTTTGCGATTCTTTAGGCATTCCTTTAGTAGAAGGGAGTCCTCTCGAGTTATTGTTTCTCTTCTGCGACCACATTTACCGGAACGTTTAGGGGACAGGGGTAAATTCTTTTGCAATTTCTTTCGAAGTCGACATACAGACGCTGGGCTGACACCAATCTTGGTTGTAATTTCTGCTCATTTAACATCTTCTTTCAACAAAATTTCAATTTGTGCGCGCTTTGAGGGGTTAGATCAAGTAATTTACCCATTAATATGCCAACACCATCTAAAAACTGTACTTGAGAAGACACCTTGAAAAATAACAATAAAGTAATTAAACATACCTATAAATTGATCCAAAAGCAGACAAATGTAATCCTGAAATGTAGACTATACACCTGTAAAAAAGCAAGTATGATAAAAATGTAATCGTCCGTTTAGATAACTACTGTACATGTCACATCAACCAATTTGCCATCATTTACAAAAAGTCTCACATACTATGCCTTTGCATGGTAACTCCTTGAAAATTGCCAAAGGATCACTTACGAAATACAAACTTTGGTGATTTTCTATTCGAAATATGTTATTCTTGGTAAATATAACCATTTTACAGTTACAGTTACGAGATATGTGTGATGTGAGATGAAAAAGGTTGCTGATTGAAAAAAATTTCTAATAATTTGGCCAGTACTGTATATAAGGCATCCGCCACTATGATTAGCGGTTCGGAAGCTGCCGTACCTTACGGTTGTGAAACCTGGCCCCTTAAAGCAACGGACCTGAAGAGGCTAGTTACGTTCGACCACCGGTGCCTTCGCAATTTAGCTCTTATCTGTTGGGAACACCGCGTGGGCAACGAGCGTGTTCGACGCCTTGTTTACGGCACAGGAAAAGAAAATGAACCGCTCAGCACCGTTATTTCACGCATCAGGCTCCGATGGCTCGGCCACGTGTTACGCATGCCAGCCCACCGAATCCCGCGACGTGCGTTGTTTGCGCGCCCGGGTTGTGGATGGAAGAAGAGGAGGGGTGGTCAAGCGATGACTTGGTCGAGAGGAATGAAGGCCCTCACTTCTGAGTTGGCCTTGGTTGGAGCGTCTCGGCTCCCTGGTTGGGGTCCGAAAGACGGTGAACACGTTTGGTTGGACACACTTGCTGACATGGCAAGGAGCCGACCTCAGTCGCGTTCGTGCTGTGAGTTTCTTTGTCCCACCCCGTCCCTTTTAGCCTCCTCCAACCACGATCTCATCATTTAGCCTTATATACTTTTGCATAGCAATTTTTATTTTTGATGCACAGTAGCCGGCTGGTAGCTTGCCAGAACGATGCCCATCCGTTACCGGTAGCTCAGCCGGCTTGCACCAGTTGCTTTTTTCTTCTTTTTTCTATGTATTGCGGCGCAGTAGCTGAGGTGTTCCCCACCTCTAGCTAACGTGTATGATGGTGATGATGATGATGTACCTGCTACATCCTGTGATATGATAGGCGGTAGACGAGGTATTTCTACTTAACCATGTCACAGTGACCAAGATACTGTGCACAGGGAAAAGTGAGCTGATCGTGTGAAAAGTTTGGATTTTATTTAAGAGTGAGTTTGCATTTAAAAGAATAACAATGTCGTGCTTGTTGCGTGGTTTGTCTACAACTTCCCCAAAATATGGTGGGCTGACCACGGGGTCGTTGCATGGTGGGGAGCAGTTTGGAGGATCTGGGCCAAACGTAGTAACTGATGGGATATATTCAGCTGGTTTAGTGAGAGTGAGCATGGTGGCAGCTGAGGGACCACTGTTGACAAGGAAAATGCGTGTTAGAGGTAGTGAAGAGAAGAGCATTTAAGGGTTAACCCAAATTCCGCTCGGATGGATTGGCGTGTGCAACAATCGGTAGTACGCTACTCTTAGGGTTGCTCATTGTGCGTGGCGCTTCTGCTGCATTCATAGGTCTACGCAACGCGCTCAAAATGGAAGTGGTAGGTTACTTCGGACGAGGAGAAGCATACGTACGAGACACTAATCTACTGCAAAACACATTGAATAAGTTAGGAATTCTTCTAATGGCATTGAACTCACTGACCAATTCTAAAGCGAGTTGCTCTGTAGAACTCAGTCTATCTGGTGCCGGATAAGTTTGCTTCCTTTTTGGCAATCTTACGGCTCTGACCAAATGAAGTTTTACACTAGTTGTTTCACAGAAAGCTTTTATGGTATCTTGGAGATCTGTGGAGTGAGGGACATTGATTGTAAGGATATTGTGAGCGCCTTATTTTCTCTTAGACCATATGGGGTATTTACTGGACATTATTAGGCGATTTTGTTTGAGTTAACCATAGAGAGACGGCTTTGGGCGGCAAAAAGTGGTTGTAGATTTTTCAGAACTACGGTATTCCTGAAGACCTGTTAAAATGTGCTTATGGGGACTCGTTTTGTAGAACTGTCATTTGGATACATTGAATTAAGGGGTATCGCACAGTGACCCCCAACTAATGACCTGGCTGTTAGCCACGTGTTAACTTGCTAGAGCTCTACATCGCTGTGAGAATTCATCTGTGTGAAAGATAATCTAGTAGACGGATCTAGGTCAACTTCCTGAGTGTTTGTGTTCAGTAACCATGTTACATAACCCTTTTCAGCTTGACGCTGAACTGCTTTTTGAGGATTGTTATGATTTGTTTTAGTTATCGGAACCTTTACGGCTTTTGCTGCACATTGTATCATTACTGGAGAGTCGATGGGTTTTACTGTACTAGTGGTGCCCATGTGACGCCCGCTTTTCTAAACAGCGAGTGATCTTCGCTCTCCGTGTTCGCCATTTTAAACGAAAAAATAAACATATTTGCCACTTCACAGGTTTTATACGATGGTTGTCCATGATAAGCTGTTCGACGCGTTCAGCGTTCCCACGAATGACAGCTATGCTCCTTGATCCACTTCTACCGATATCCTCAGTGACAGATGTACGACCATCTTTCAAGTGCCTGCACTATTCCGATGTAGTACAGGAACTGTCGACATACTAGGCCAACAGCTTTCTGTAAATTTCAGTCATCTTCACTAGGGATTCTCGCACAACCCACTCTTCCATATGAACGTCGCGATTTTGTCCGTCATCTTGTCCATGACTTCATACTGTCGCAACAGGACAGTTACCATCTCCAATTACGTACAGCTATATCACATATGGACCGGATTTTGAGCCCGATCTGATTCTAATGTTCGACCTTCACGTGGTCATCGACGTTTTTACACTTGTTTCTTGACCCTATTTTAACGACCATGTGGATCTTAGTAACTGGGTGCTCCCTCGTTTTCAGGCTCATTCAAAGATAAAAGTAGCATCTTCGCTCTAGATTTCCACACACACTCGATAAATTTTCGCTTTTTTCTGACTGGATGGCTATATATATATATATATATATATATATATATATATATATATATATATATATATTGGATACCCCTGCTTGAGGTTTTTCTCAACATTTTTTCATCATAGGAAATCATCCTATATCGGCGACCGGACAGGCGGCGCAAATCATTTCAAAAGCACTCCTATCTAAACAATTGGTCAGCGAAAGGAGAGGTATCCGTGGCGGAACCGAGCAAACTTCCCCAAACTCCGGAGGAATCCGCTTATCAGGCCTCTAATGGTGCAGAAACACTTGATAAGGTACAGTTCACATGCCTTCTTTTCATCCTTTGCAAATTCCGACGGAATGCATTTTCAATCGCTCACTTCCTCTATCCACCGGAAAGATACCGGATGTGACCCGTACTAGCATCTTGCCTACTTCATCCTCCATTTCCACGCCGAGTGTTTCAGCACTCGCACACACACACCACACAGTGGCGATCATTTTGCGTTCTTTCACTGTATCTGTTCACTGTTTCTCGATGACACTCACTTAGGATACTGACACCTGCTTGGCTAAGGAGCATGACGTAAGCGGCATTTCAAATGCGTATTGGGGATTTTGGTAACGTTGTTAACACATTAAACCATCCGAATTGCTTTTTGAAATTGCCCTCTACCTGTTTGAGATAGGTTCACTGTCCCTCTTTCATTTTCATTTGCCTCATTTAGCGTGGCTCTTCTTAAACCCGCACTTCGAATGTATTCGATTATTCCTTGGCTCTGCCAGATAGCAATGCGTTTCTCCATTTTCCAAAGTCCAGTCATCCACAAAGATATAACGGTCAGTATTTCGAGCGCTCTGAGACTAATCACTTGCGTTCTAGAGATGGGTCTCGACACATCACCATCCTCAAGGCTCCTCAAGTTAGTCTAACAAGCTATTTCTAATACAGTCTTCATTGCGTATCGCGATTCTGTCCTCATGACTAGTTCCTCTGATAGGTGTGATAGGTGATGGCATTCCGACTCGCGCTGATCGTTACCACAGGAATCCGAGTTCAATAGCGGCTGTTTCATCCGGAGCCTTGGCGCTTCTTTGAGGCCGGTGTTTGCATAATGCAAGCGTTCACCCTGAGGCACGGTTCTACTCTAGGCGACTGCTGCTAACGGACTGACGATTTTGCAACGGTATGCGTCGTCTGCAGCTGATGACAGTATGGTCAGTTTGTATTCACCACATCCTTTCCTCCGTTGGAGCTTCTGGTGATGCGATAAAAACGCATGCGATGACGGAGATTGCTTTCCAGAGCTGAATTTCGTAGTTTGCGCACCACTAACGAAACCAATCCACATTATTAGTGCAACGGGCATGGAGTGCACGACGACCACTAATATGTCGCTCATTTTCCGATTGTCGCAGAACTCGGTCCTTCATGGACAACAAAGCAATCTCATCGATGATAACAGTAAAACTAACTCGTAGATGCCTCGGGGTATTTAGCTAGACCGCTTCCATAACTAACGATACTTCTACACTCAACCTTCTTTTTCTTCGGTCAAACAAACTCACTCCAACGCAGCCAAATATTAGTTGATCAGCGTAGACGTTCACTTCGCTGATATGTTCGTTAACGGCAATTTAGCTGCTTGTTTTGTCGCCTGAATCCGTCTCCTCCCTCCGACTGCACATTACCATTACACCAGTTGGCAGATCCTCTTATCCTTCACTTGCACATCAATAACCATCGCTGCATTCGTACTCTCCTTGATCATATCGGTGCATTATGAGAGTTGCTGATGCTCGCATTGACTGTGATGTGGATTCGAGGCGAAGTCATTCGCGCGCGGTTGTCCACTGGATTTCACTCAGTTCTGTTCGGTTAATCCACCATAATTTGCATATCGATTACAGTTAACCTGGGGTGCTGACTGCCAAAAATATCACTCTTCCGTCTAGGGGCAAAGTGTGCGTCACCTTTGTCACCTTTGTTGAACAGCCTTTTACCCTACACAACACAATGATCGCTTGCTGATCGACAGTGTTCCCCACTTTGTGGCTTTATGGCCACGATAAACTTTGTTTGGATAGATAAGTGTCAATGCAACGAAGCTTTTCAAATTACGCCGCAACTGCCCTACTACTCCCTGACAATCAACAATCATCCGAAAGGGCTAACGATAACATGAGATGATTGGCATTTTAATGAGGGAAGCATTGCCTCTGGGGACCAGCACTGTCTTCTTCAAGTGCATTGTAATAGCGACTGAGTTATGGTGATCTGCTGCTGTCATCCCCGTGGCTCAGTGGATCTACTGGGAAGCACCAATAGGAAGCAACATCTGTTCAGCGTTTTTTCGAATGTGGGTTCGACTGAGCCTAGTTTCTGTCAATCTGCGGTGAACTCAATAAAATTCCATCAAAATCCTCTTCAAGTCAAGTCAACTTAAGCTTTATGCACCCGTATGGATGCATTTTCAACGTTTTCACACCAACACCGTGGATTATTATCATCCAACAAAGCATCATTAAGAAAAAACACTTAATAACAGGCAGAATACGACAATATAAAACTTGAAATTTTCTCCGTGTGGTCGAAGTAGATATAGTGTTGTTTAGCATCTCATGAAAAAGGTGTGAGGAGTCATTTACAATATGGGATGAAAACTTGATGCATTTGTCGAAATGTTTGTTAACAATGAAACCTATGAGAGTTTTTTCCCCTAAACCGGAACACCGAGAACTAAATTTTAGTGAACGGAGAAGAAGGACATATATTTATAAATATTTTACAACAGTCTATGAATAGACATAGAGCCATCAGAAACCATGGAATACAAAGAAGGTACAGCAATTGTAAAAGAAAACATGTCCCTGGTTTCGTCAGAGAGCAAGATACTACCCGGTTGCCCAAGCCGACGTAGGGTGTTGACTTAGGAGACACCACCCCGAGCCATTGGCTGAATAGCCTGCCCCCAAGGCAGCGAAGCGAATTCAGGCAGTCGCGCCCATTGGGAGCCGGTGACTGATTGCTCAGTTCATACGCCTTTTGTTTGTTCCTTTGTCAAACAGGGGCCCAATGCTCCTCAGAATTACAGCATAAATTTGCGGGAATACAATGCTTCGCCAGGATGAAGCAAGGGGCAGTGACTTTGTTTATTGGGGAGTCACGTCCGCCACGTCACAGTGTTGTTAAACGGACATATGTGACTTTTTACAGGGATAACGCTTGCCAGGTGAAAACCCATCACGTCCTGGAACACTGCCGCGGAACCATTTGCTGGAACGGGAAAATTCTGTACCGCCCAGCTGGTACCACAAGGAGGTTGTTCGACAAGCCAGCCGGAGGACATAATCTTTTGGAAGCAATCCTAGGAAACTACTGGAGAGTAGTATAACCAATGAGAGAGAATACATGCAGTCACAAACCGTAGAAACGGGAACGGGAAGCATTTTAATTCTCAGAGCGTAAAAATTGTGCCTTCTACTTTTAAAACTTTTTAAATGTTTCCGGAATATGTGTGGACTAAATTAAATTGTGAGATAGAAAAACTCCTAGATATTTTACGGTAGACATGCGACGTATGCTTTGCTCATCCACAATCGTTGGAGGAGAGGTATGTAGAAGGGACTGCAGTGTGTTGGGATGTAGAAAACAGAACGTCACCTCACAACACTTGGAAGGGTTGGGAGAGAGAGGGGGGGTCCGGGAGCTAGACCAATTCACTAGTTTAACTCCCGTTGGACTTTCAAACAGTCCTCGATGATTCTGGCTATACATCCCAGGATGAGGTCATCGGCTTATTTACAGTCTATGAACTTTGATGGAATCGGGAGGCTTTCAACGTAGGCAGTGAATTGGCTGGGAGTACAGAAGACTTTATGTCGCACAGCTGCGTGAAGTGGGTACGATTTGTGGTAATCACGCGTCACACTACATTTAGATGGACGGACGCCATTCTCGAACAAACTGTTGAGCAGTAGTGATCTATCAATATTCTCAGAAGCGTTGGTGTAATCATGAACTAGGAGCGATACGCTCTGAACGCAACGGAATGCACCAGAAAAGAAACGGCATCCAGTGTAGAGCACCCTTCTTTATAGACAAACTATTTGATGTCATTAGTAGTATGGTTACCATTGAAAATGCGGGGGATCAGCAGTTTTTCCAGTAGTTTTAGCACCACGGACGTGCACGCAATCGGCCGACATTTCCGAGATTCTTTTTTACCCACTTCTGTTATTCTAGCTGATTTACAAATGTCGCTAACCGTACCTAGTCGTTAAGCACCGATTCAACACTTCTATCACATATATTGTTAAAACAACTGAGCATTCTTTCAGAGCGACTGTTGATAGAATATCCGGTCCACTAGCCTTTTTTTGGCTTCAGCCTTTTGAGATCCTTGTAAATGTTTGCGGAAGCAAATAACATGGGATTCTCCGTAGTGGTCAATGAAGGCAGTGGTTGTGTTAGGTGGTGAGGAGCTAAACTCATCGTTGTGTTCATTTACATCCTCGGTGATGCATGCTCCCCAAAGAATTTTTTCCGGAGAGTTGTCATAGTAGCCCCCATAAATCACAGCAATTGTAGTTGCTTAAAATGGTCTGCATCTAAAGAGCGTTTAAACTTTTTATTTCTACTTTTATAGCTGAGGACAGACGTTTAATACGGGCAGTTAGCCTATGTTTATAAGCCTGTTCCTTTTTCTCCCAGTTTCTTTAACAATGGAGATGAAAACCTGTCATTTCGCAACTAAATTGTCCCAAAGGGACAGCATAGATCAAAACAGAAGTTTATGTAGTCTGTGAGGTGGTCGCATCGCTTTAACGAGTGATCTATTTTGAAAATTGAAAACCAGTTAAAGACAACGTTTTTCGATGTTATCTGCTGTGCAGTTCCGTCGTTTAACAGTTCTAGGGGGTCTTATGCTCAGTGCAACGTAATTAGCTTTATTGTATAGCTTGCGGCATGGCTTTAGTTTGCAATGGTCGGAATGGCCCAGACGTGAACGTTTTTGTATAGGAAATAGTTGGAGTTTGTTAGTAAAACTACATCTAAATGCGCTTCGAGTCTGGTGGAGAATTTCACCAAATTGGCTAAACCCATGGTGTTACTGAAACTTGTCTCACTTCTATTGAAGTCTCCGGCAAAATACACTAATGGAAACATTCCAATTTTTGTTGCAACTCCCAAGTAACGTGGCCTGCAAACTTTTGCAGCTTGGACAGCGCTGTGTCCGGAGTTACATACACCTTGCCAACTACGAGAGTTAGAAAACCGCTCAAAAACCTTGGTTTACACTCCGATAGGTAAACTGTTTACTGAAGTTGTTGAGTACTCCGAGAGTTTGCAACCGTGTAACGCTACAATTTGTTAGTGTAAGTGATGATGCCTCCTCCTGCACAACGGGCAATCGGATCTAATATGGTGGTAACCATTGCGATTAAGGACTTCATCATCAATGCAACTAAGTTTCCTGAAATATGAATATACCTGCATTTATGACTTTTCTTCTCTGTGAAATGGTTACTAGGTCATCAATTTTCCCGAGAAGCGATCGCACTTTGTTGGATAGCATCAGCGGAATTTGTGCCATTTTTGTAGTGATTGGCAGTTTGAAGGTATTAGAGAGATTAAGAACCTGGGAACAATGACAAGTGCAAGTTTAACCAAAAGCTCAAGTAAACTAATTTGACCATCCATGGAACTGTCCCCAGGGGACCTGCTTCCATGCAAGCTGCTCCCTCGATAGGTTTCACCCGCACTTCCGTGCTCCAACTGACTGTGTGACAATATAGCAAGTAGGCCAGCACTTGTTTAAGATATTTTAGTGCTGTTTTATGCATACATTATTGGTGATCCTTCCTTTATTCTTCTGTTTTGTGCATAACACTTCTTTTTATGTCAGAAAGAGGACAATGCATTGCGGTTCCTAATCAATCGGGCTTAATGACCAGAGGGTTCTCAAGCGTTTTCTGAGAGTTCTGGGATTTGTGTTCTATGCTTAACAGGGGACTGGTACCGTTATTAGCCATAATAGGATTCTTAGGTTTCATCCCCATGAGTGTTGCTTTTGATGAATTAAAACGCACTGACTTCAATTCCCCGTGAACTAATCGAGACTAGTTCTGTCACCGGTTTGGACCGTCAGGCGCTTCTAGCTAGATAAATAAATAAATTGTATATTCTTCTACAATGCAAGAAGCTGTTCCCTAAAAGGAACAGATCAAATAATGGTACAAACTTTCCGTGACATTTCGTTAATACATTTTCAGAAATAAACATGGGCGCAATTGCAAATTAGGTAACACAGAGTAATCAGAATCGTTCTGCCAATTTTTTCCTGTCATTGAATCAGGATTCTTCATACTCTCATGACAGATGGTTGGGCCGAGAAAAATAATGTAGTGAAAGGGGCTGTTGTCTGAAATGTGTATGTGTTTCGAAAAATTTTTCAGGCACCATGGATACCATTTTCGAATGCGCTATCTAGGGACTATGATGTCCCGAACATCTTAATCACGGTTGGGACGGTTAAATGCTTACTAATCGCAAGCTTAAAATTGCAAAGTGTATAGCATGTTCTGATATCACTTGGAAGTTTGTTCCAAATCTTTGAGTATTGGGTTAGAAAGAAACCTCTGATTCTCGTAGTAAATTTTGGGATCATGACCTTTACCTTATTGTTACATATTGGTGATCTGCTGTTTAGATATGTGAACACCGTTTTCAAGACTGCGAATTTGACGGTTTATGATTATATAAAGAAAACATAGGTTCAGCTTCATTATCCGAAGCCAAATTGGGTTAAATCCAAGTTTATCACATCGGTCTCTGTATGTCAACTTTGAGGAATATCCGCATAGCTTTTTCATGGAGCGTCTCTGGACCCTCTCAAGAGCCTGCTGTCAGATTTCCGTAGATTAGGCTGTACCATGCTTCATGCTTTTATTCCTGGACGAATTTCAGACCATATATCTACAGACGGAGTTTGTTCTGTGTCATAGCATGAGACGACCGCGTGTGGACCAGTAATACTCTCACGAATTTCTCCCATAGCAATTAGTGAGCCTATGATGGCCGCAGAATGATCTAAGTCGACGGTGCTACCATTGAGGCCAATGCAATCTTCACTGTATGTGCTACCCCTTTCAGTGATTTCAGCGAGGAAATAGTGGAATTGTTTTTCATGAGCTTTGATGAGTCACTAATAGATCCAGCATGATAAAATTCACGTAGGAAGGGAGTTCTGTTTTCAAAAATGATTCCATTGTTGTTACATTTCGGCATAGACTTTATAGTTTGATTTTTAATTAACATGCTAGCAAACTTTTTGCTTCTTCATCGGAAAAACATTGAGCATGGATGATGTAGAGATTTTTTTGGTAGTCTGTTGTAGCTAATGTCATTTACCGGTTTGCCGTATATCTTTACATATCGTCCGGTATGTTTGGGGCAATAGCGTTTTTAACACGCTTGCATATATCAGTTACCCCAGACGCTACGGAATTCAAGAAGTTTCTTGTCCCTTTCATAAGCCTGTGCTCTTCGTTATAACGCAGTGGATAAGTTAAATAGAAAACTGATGTCTGGCTATCCGCGGCAGAATCCAGCCGCAAAAGTTTTACTTTTTGTTCATATAGCTATTCTTCTACTAATGAAATTCTGTTTGACAGTGAGGACAAATATCGGTAATACTTGCTGAACATTTACATGCGACACGTTTATAAACATTAGAAGCAACTTAGTTTTGGAGGTATATATTGATAGTCGCTTTACGTTTTGGTAACTGACGCTTCATGGCAGGTGAATTTGCAGCAGTTAAACTTTTCGTTTTTACGATGCTTACAGGTGTCGGCTATAAGCAGGGAGGTTGGCGATCGTTTCATAGGATTCCTGTCTCTTTCTTGAATTAAAGGTGGAGCTTTTCGTTTGGACAGATTTAAAGAACATTTTTAGTGAATAATCAGTAGGTTTTTAAATCTTGTAAAACATATCTTAAGTTTGCGAGAAATGGACAGTGGGGTTCAAAAAGTACCACTGTTTCTGGTGAAATGATCGATAAAAGCCAACCGGTATTTCAAGTCCGCTTTCAGTTAGCCAAATTCCGCCAAGGGTTGCAGATTTATCCTTCGTAAATAAACCGCTCAGTGCGCAGATCAGTTTTGATGTAAATTCCTTGCCATGCCTCGTCGCAGGAATGCAAGTTCAGTACAAGTATGTCTGGGAACGTTTTCCTTAACAAGCACACCGGAATCTGGAACAAGCTGGAGAACGTGCTTGCACTCTTGAGCACGAATTACGCAAAACCGCCACCAAGTTTTTAACTTTACAAAATATGTCAGCTATTTAGTTGTTCCATTTAACAAGCTATGCGTACGAGTAGCTTCCAAGTGTTATGCGATCCAGTACTTGGTGCGCTACCATGATCTCTTCTTTGAACCAGATATTTCTTAGTCACATATTTGAGAAAGTTTTTGGAGGTCAGCCAGCATCGATTTAGTTCGGTCACTCATTTTATGTGTCACTTCTGTTCTTTCAAACTTCATTGTTTTACCTGCTTTTGCATTTTCCTGATGCACCTGTGATTGACTTTTTATACAAGTACGCACCTACCCCATCATGCGGATACAAGCGTGTCTCACGTCATCTAGGATGAAAGTCTACTTATTAGCCCCCCCTCCTTAAACAAGACACAGCAATCTCTGGCGTTTACCTGCGAGTTGCTTGGAAATAAAAACATCAACTTGTTGGCACTGTCGTATCTCTTGCTCTTTGCTCCTTTCTGTCACTCTATTTTGTTTTCTTCCTAATGGTTCAGGACGTATTCTCTAAAGAGAATGATTGCGAGATCTCAGGGACTGCGTTTAGGGACCAAGAAACGTCTGCAGATGTTCCCAATCAACCAACTGTTTCACACAGCTATGCAACGGACGGCAACCATAGCTCGAGTTCAGCGTCTCCGGAGGCATCAAGAGCCTCACGAAGCATGCATCGCTACGAATCGAAACACGTGCGTCCCATCTCCAATTTCCCCCCTTCCCTGGATGCTGAAAACCCTTCAGATTTGAGAGAAGAATCTCTTCCAAACTCATCAGAGGATCACGTTTCAAACGAGCCTTCTAAACCGTCTGATGATGATGCAGATTAATCAGCGGCCTGGAATGCTAACAACGCAGTGAAATTGCACAGTTTTTCAACGCTATCCCTCTTGCCGAACATGCGCGGCATTTCTCGTGCAACGCCTTTTCATCCATCCAACGGCACTTACCAAGGTGCTGCTGCTGCTACTACCTCTGAAGCCGCTTCAATCTTCTATACTTAATTTTTCTGATTTTTTACATCTCCATCCAATTTGGTGGTGCTGGTCTTTTGTAATTTACATCCCGCTGATCTTCAACTCTCCGGTTCCACCTGGTGTGTCCATAGTGATTTTGCGGAACTACTCCCACGTATTTGGTTTTTTCATCTATGTAACAGCTGCGATCCGCCTACGTTTCATACATTTTAGTCTCTTGCTTCTCACAACCAGGTCAGTTGTGTTCACCAGTTCTCTTTCTATCGACCACATTTGCGCCTCGTCAATGTTTGCACTGCATTTGCCTCGTTGTTTGTGAAAACGTACTTTATCGGGCCCTTTTCCTACCTCCCGGACGTACATTGCATAACTCCCGGTCTCACCAGGATTCTTTGTGATTTGGCGTGCTTGAATCTTTCCGATTGCAGCGTACCCTCACACTTACTTCTTTGAAATGTAAGTTATTCGTACTTATCCCATTTTGTGATCAATAACTCATTGCTTTACTCCTTTCTTCTCCACAGTCGGCTTGGTTAGTACTACTGCGGATTACCACCTACATGTAGGGGTTGTTTTCTTCCTCTGTTTATGACAGCGATTCCGTTACTATGGTCATTTGCTTGAAGTTGGCCGCTATTACTCTTAATTGTCCAATCCGTTTTTATCAAACTTTACGTTAGACTTATCCTGTAAGACCTGCTTGCTAATGAACCATCCTAATTGTTCGGACACAAAAATCTATCTAGACCTACTTATTTCCTCTTTTTTCGCGGAATCGTTTTCACGCGGTGACTATGATATTACTCGATTGACGCTGACAGTTGCATCCTTGTTCAATGCCCTCCAAGGTTCTTTCTTTGGAAAGAATTCCACTCCGTCGTGGATCCTTGCTGTGGGTTTGATATCTTCTCTAACTGCGTTTGACTAACCGTTGTGGGTAACCACTACCTAATAGTTTATTCATCATCTCTTTCCGCACACAACTCTTCCGTCTTCCTCCGTTGTGCACAAGGTGTGTGTGTGCCCTGTAGAACAGTGCTGAGGCTATCCCATTGTAAGCATTTCCGTAGTTGTCGGCCTACGATTTCTTATTGTCTTCAAGATTATCGTCATTTCTGTGAACTAAGCAGTCAAAAAGTGGTACTGTGCAATTACACAACTCTAGTCGCATTGGTAAATATCCCGCCTGGTCATTAGAGTTTAGATGACTTAACAACTCACCTCCATTCTTGTCCAGTTTCACGCTCACAAAGGTGTCGTCTGCGTAATGCCACCAGTTACCGTAAGGTACTGATTTTTGTTAACACCCTGTCAACGCGAAGGATATTAACGACCTCGTCGTGATCAGACCTTGTTTCTAAGTGTACATCTACAACTGGAAAATGAACTAGGACATGTTAAGGCATTGTGTCACACCATAGACTATTTCGTCAATTGTAATTTCGGTCCAGTCACCCAGGATGCTTAGACAACGCCTTGCAGTTCCTAGCGCCTCTGTTTTGGATACATTGGTAAAAAGTGATGTTACGTCGAAGGTTATCGTATATTCACTTAACTGGATGTTGAGCCCTGCTATCTTTTTGGTGAACTCGTTGGAATTCTCCACGAAAGTACTCGTTCGCACGATCAGTGGTTGCAGTAGTCCCGCTAACTATCTAGCGAGTTCTTGAACAGGGGGACCTATACCGTCGGCTATGCGCTGTTTGGGAATGTTGATTTTAGGAATCTGGTAGTCCATGTACCCATAGGAGCAGGGTCGATTTCAGTTAAATACTTTGCGTACTCCTAAACGCCGTTCGCCGTACTTCAATGGTCACTAACTTCTGTCATATTTTTGTTCATTATTGTCGCCACCCTTTTATCTTCAATTATACAGCCCTGCCTCCAATTCTTCTTCATATCTTCCAAATAATCGGACTTATTCATTACCCCCATTGTTTCTCTATTATCCGCGTATGTGACTACAAGAATGTGATCTTCCTTCAAGGACCTCAACGCCATGCGTTCAGTTGGTTCAACATTCGGTTCTCTGGTTGTTAAAATCAGGTGATACTACGCGCACGGGCATTCTCCTTCTTTGTTACCGTGCACTCAACGCGGGGGATATTCACTTCTGCAAATATCTATCTTATTCACAATAAAAGTCGAATCCTTTTCCAGTACTATGCACTTTGTAACTTCTGAAACTTCCCAAACATGACTTATGATTCCATTGTGGACCTTGGTGCATAATTATTGGGTGTTACCTGCACACACCTTTTAACTACCTTGCAACGGCAAGACTGTTTTGCGTAGGGTGTCTGGATCACGTTACACAGGACTCAGTATCGCAACATGTAGGAAAGGCTTACTAACCGGCCAAGCCAAAAAGTAACCTAGAAGAAGAAGGTTTCAATGTCAAGTCTGCTGATGTCGACCGAGTGGTCTGTACGTTTGCTTTGCAACCATAACGTCACCGGTTCGAATCCGCGTAGGGGTGGACGTCCTAGCGGTATACTCAGCCCGCGCGCGACTGGTGGTGGTCGCGCGGCAGCGAAGCGCCGTTACGGTGTACAGCTGACACATTACTTTATTATTTTTATTATTACAAGTCTGCTGATGCTCATAGTATACTGCTGAAGTACTGCTAAGCGGTAAAAGTCCAATGAAACCAATGCTCCAGCGCTTTGTGGATCGCGTGTGGTTGAAAGCGCGAGTGTCGGATGAGCTGAAGAATACCGTTGTGTGAACACTACTCAAACGCAAGAGAAGCAACTAAGTTGTCAGCAATTATTCTGGCATCGACTTACTAAGCTGCGTTGGAAAGACACTTCAAGTCAACTCAAAATAAGCTTTTTTCATCCACCTGAGTACATTTTCCGCATTTCGCAATAATAACTACGGATGAACCAAAATGGTATCATCGAAAGTTTAAGTTTGTTTGAATGTAGAAAGGAACACCGTAAACAAGTGTCACTAGAATAAACTGTCCGTTATCACTAGGCAACCGTTACACATTTTTGGAATAACAATCCGAATTTGCGTTCCGTTGTGAAGACAGCATCGAGGGTCGATTTCCTAACCGGAATGGCACATTCCTGCTTTGTGGGAAAGTTTCTTGAATTCTTAGAATAAAGAGCAAGAACATAAACATCTGTGTTGCTCCATCGAAGGTGGATTGGGCACATGCACGGAATCACGTCGCTGACCCCTGAGCAGAGGCAGCATATTGCAGCTTCACTACATCTTATCCGGGTACAGTACGCTCCCTATACCTGTAGTCCGCAAAGTGGGCGTCAAGGAATCTATGAAATTCCGACACCGATTTCGTCTCGACTAGCGTCTCCGGAAATTCGTTCCAATATTTCACCACTCGATGTGCTTTAAATCCGGTACCACTAGTTTGTACCGGTGCGTGAACGTGCAGCAGCGGCTTCAACATAGAGAAGTAGCCCAGGTACAGTATCCGGTGCGTCATAATGAGAACAACTCGAAGCCGACGATATGACGGGAATAAAGCCCTAGTCTCCTACATTGGTCCTCGAACGACACACCGTAAACTGGGAATTAGCCACGTAGCTGCATGCTGTGCCCATTCCAGTCTCTGCAGCTCACCAATTGTGATCGAGCAATAGGCGGGTGAGCCGTACCCAAGCACCGGTCTTATTATGGAAGAGAACAGACGGGTGGCAATCTCTTCAGACCGAGTGCAGGCGCTACGTCTAAGTGCCCATAGCAGGAGTAGTCCGTCTGCGTACAGTCTTCGTGTTGTCGACAGACTTCAGATCACAGCGTGAGAGTACGCCTATATCCTTTACGGAACTAGTGGGGTGCAGCGGGTGGCCGGCCAGGGGGTACGCACACCCATTACTACCCCTCCTCAGGCTCATAAACGTGGACTTGGCCGTGTTGACCGCTAGGTCAACTTCCGCAGACCACCGGGATAAGTGGTCGTGTTCCTGCTGAAGGAGGTCACAGTCGCCGACAGAATCAATAATTCTCCAAATAATACGCAAATAATACGCAGGGCGACCGAAAAATCTGAGGTACATCCTTGATGTGGATTAGGAATAAAATGGGCCCCAGTACTGTGCCTTGGGGTCCGCCGCTAGTGAACGGTACCCATCATCTCCTCCCAGTAGGGAATTTACTTATCCACTGATGCAGTGCGCCACCAACAACCACATCCTCAGCTTGTGGAGCGGGACCTCATGCTTCACTTTATCACAAACTTTACTGAAATCAATGTAGAGACATACACGGACTTCTCCTGACTCAACGCTTGCATCCATTACTGCCGCATCAACAGCAGCTTGATGATGTACGAGCGGCCTTTCATGAAGCCGTGTTGTGCCAGCGTTCAACTTCAGCAGCTGGAGAATACCATTTTTCACGATTTTCTCGAGCACCGCCAAAACAGAGGTGATACAAATCGGCCGGTAATTGTCCACATTGCATGGGTCACCACCTTTTGGAATCGGCTTCACTACCTAGCATTTCCAGTCGCTCGGCAGTGCACCCTCGGACAGCGATCTGTCGAACAGATCCGTCACGGCAGGCGAGATGATAGCCTATAAGGACTTCAAAATTAGCGGGTGAAGTCCATCGGGTCCGGCTGGTTTTGTGCCATCTAGACTGGCGAGTAGACTGCGGACATCTACATTACAATCAAGGCCCTCGAGTTCAGTAGGGGCTGCACACGTTGAGCTCGGCATAGACACATGCCCACTTGTAAATACGGAGGCGAAGTGCTCCGCCAATGCGGACGCACGTTCAGTGCTGGAGGCCAAAGGCTGCCTGTCAGTGCCCTGTAACACGGCTACGTCACTTGCGGGCCTCAGGCGCCGCTTCGCGTAAGCAAAAGTCTTCTTGGGGGCCGTCTTCGCTGAGGTTGCAAGCTACTCTTCGGACGCTGTTGCATAGATTCCGCTGCCCTTTGTACGCCTCATAATCGTCGGCTGAGCCAGACGCGACAATGTGCTTTGTCCCGAGGTTTATTCAAAGATCGACGGACAGCAGTGGCAACCTTGCAATTAGCACAACTAAGGACAATGTAAAAATACTCTGAGACATCTGATGTATTTGCAGCAATTATCGTAAAACGATGTTTCAGTGAAAATGGCAACAGCCGGTTCAAAGGCCCCACGATTCATGGATCCCGCTCGAACTACTCGTTACGCAACTTTGGAACTCAGCATCGTTCAAGTACAGTGCGGATTTCCTCTGGTCGCATCACAATCAGCAAGGCGCCTTCAACCCGTCAACTACAGATATGCGAGTTACAAAATCGCTGCCCTCACTAAACTTTACCAGAGCGTTTGAGACGAGTAATCACAGGGGGTTGTTACTAGTTTCAAATTAGTTCACATACCGGTAAGCATATTCGTTCATTTGGTTCAGTCGGTCGTGGAGTGCCGTGTTGGGAGAAAGCAGCTCCGAAACTCTCCACTTCGGATACGATCCCAGTGACCGAAATGGCTTAGCTTTGCTTCAAACCAAACTTTAGTCTTTAATGGAGATGGCGTGTCCCAATCCACACACACGGCGAGTACTCTAAGACATAACAGTAATTCTCCTACGATTTTGTAGACGTCTTATGTGCGAAGTAAAGCTGCTTGCTAACCTCTACTTTTTTGACACTCATTAGACTGCCATATGCTTTCAGTTTATGTGTGTAGTTTCCGTATCGAGTACCCATGGAAGGTATGTTAATGCATATTTTGGATTGCAAAACCTGTTACTTGGGGCAATCATACATATTTTGTTGGTCACAGACAGCTACGCTCCGCAGACCCCCAACAAGGGTTCAGCTGAAACACATAACGAGACCACTTCGTTCGATGATTGGAATCATTCCATATCTGTGGAAATATGCACTGGTTACACTGAGATATAGAAGTGATGCACGTCGAATGCATACGAACTATCGGCCCATCATTATGATCAATACATGTTAGCTGAGGGTGCGAAGCACACCCAGCTATTGTGCTGCAGAACAAAAAAGATAAGATAATAAACGCTACAGGCTACAAGAATTAAGATTAATTAATATAATACTATATAACATTTGCCCCATGCTGAGGCTCATGTTGCATTCATGATGCTTCTTCACCCCAGTTGGGCTAAACCAACTTACACTTAAACTAAGTCTTTTTAATGTGAATAAAATTCATTCCACTTT